ACAAAAATCAGAAAAACCAAAGTTTCGCTTCTAGCATCGTAATTTTTGGTATCATTTTAGATTATTACTTGAGCTCTTATATATGTTAAAATTAGCCCTTAAAACATTTTTTTCTTTATTTTACATGAAAATATGCTTAAAAAGTTGCTTAGCTTCTAAAATAATTTTCGCATGCGCTATTTAAATTATTCCAAAGTTTTAATTGATAAAATCCATCAATAAAGTTTAAAATTAATACAAAGAACACAATAAGGACTATTTACAGTAAGAAGTAACAAAATTTAAAATGAAAACAAGTGTGGTAAATCTCGAAGCACATAGAAGTATCACTTTGTAACTCTTAGAAAAAGTATCACTTTGTAACTCTTAGAAAAAGTATCACTTTGTAACTCTTAGAAAAAGTATCACTTTTTAACTCTTTAGAAAATGAATCAATACTCTCATTTGCATTAGTAAATGGTTCACTAACCATACTAGGGTATTCTTCCTCTGATAAATAGTGCCTTCCCGCCATAATAGACTGGAGGTGGGGCTTTCCTAAATAAAAAAAGAAGGAACGGAAATATATCTGAAGGCAATGCAAAACGTAAAGAAAACTCCGCACAGTAACCCTAAAAGACCGTTGGTTAGGAGTTGGATATAAATCAGATACGAGAATGTTTTCATTAGCACGCAGCGATTTAAAGAGCTCACCTCTGTTTACGCTTTCCCTCCGCTCCCCACCCTCGAACAGCTGATGAATAAAATACAAAAGTCAAGCAGAATACATCAAACTCAAGGTCAGGAAACTAAAACTGTGTTCATTTCAAAAGTAATGGCCACAGGATGCCATCTAGTGGCCTTCAGAAAAACGTTCCACCTTAAAATGCGTATACGCATCACCCGTCCTCTGAATGCGATCTTTACTGATGCGTGGATGAGACGCTCGGCTGTAAGAGACGTTCTTAGGGAATGCGTATATGGGATGCCCGTCCTGAAAGGGTTAAAGAATGCCGCCACAACATTTCAGAGGACTATGAACAAGCTTCTCGTCATACATAAAGACTAAGCTGATTCTTATATTTATGACGTGATTATATTTTCCGATGATGGGAATACACATCTGAAACATCTTAACAAAGTCCTAGGTATGCTAGAAAAAGCAAATTTTACAGTTAATTTCAAAAGGTGTGACTTTGCAAAGCATAAAATCAAATTTCTAGGACACATAGTTGGTTCTAGTTCACACGAATCTGACCCAGAAAAGTTGAAGCCATACAGAATTTAGAATTTCTCTATACTAAGAAAGATGTAAGAAGTATTTTAGGACTATTATCATATTACCAGTCTTAAACATCCAAATTTTCTGCAGTAGTGTAACTTTTGACAGCATTGACAAAAAGAAGAGTTTTAATGAAATTACTTGGTTGAAAGAACATGATGAAGCATTCATTCAATTAAAACGTATCATTTGCAATGCTCCTAAATGCTACTCTGCAAATTTTAGTCTGATTTTCATCATTTGTTTAGATGCATCATCATACGCCGTAGTAGCTTGTTTGGCTTAGCAAGGTGAAAACAGTGTGGAACACCCAATAGCTTTCACTTGCAAAAAGTTGACTAAGACGCAGAGAAATTATGCTGTTATTGAAAAGGAAGCTTTTTGTGTTTTCTTTGCCTTGAAGAAATTTGAAACTTACGTATTTAGTTCTGAGATTGTCATTGTTAGTGATTGCAACCCTCTCAAATTTCTCACAGAATGTTCCTCACAAAGTTCTTATTTACAGCACCGGTCTTTAGCATTGCAATGATTACGTAAAGGAAAAGACCATATTAATGCAGACTCATTATCTTGATTAACTGCCTATCAGTAGAAGCATGACTGAAAGTCGATAACTTTTGAAAGGCTATGATCATAGTCATCATCATTTTGACTATTTAGTTTGAACATTTTTTTAGAGATTAAATGCTCTAAAAGAAGGGGTTAGATGACCATGTGCATGTGCAGTTTAGCCGAATAAGTGTGCATTGCCTCTCACTCACATGACTTACATTAAAAGAGAAGATGTGATAGTAACGAAAGTAACACGCTATATGGCAGCATAATAATGATAAATTCATTTTTATTTTTGTGTAAACTATTTGTTTTGTTCGTGTGATTATAAAGTGTTCATGCCGTTAAATGTATGTTTATGAGATGCCCACATTATGTTCACGTCCACACTAGGTAGTAAATATATATCCAGAACCCATGCACAGAAGAATGTGTGACAGTGATATAAGTCTCCAAAATGAAACCCTTGTCATTGTTCTTTATTTATTTCTCTTGTTGAAAATTGAGTGATATCAAGTAAAGTAGTGAGTAATATTGCTGGCTGTGGAGTAGATCCATGTGTGGGATATATAAGAGAGATTAGGTATAAGTGCAGGGGTCATCTGTTATTTACCCTGAGTAAGCTCTGGCTATCCAGATAAACCACTTACTGGAGTTATCCAGATAAATAACTCGTTCCTGGGGCTTATGGTACTGTTCTGGTGGCGAGATGCAACTGTTGTCTGGTGCATTTGGCATTGCAAGCTCAGCTAATGCTGGGAGTGTCTTTGTGCACCAGCAATAGTTGAGCTTATGTCCTGGACCTATGGTATTATTGAAACGTTAAGAGTACAGCATTTGCATTCAATGGTTATGCAACTGTTACAAGATTCTAATTACACTATTGGAAACTCGATCAAATTGAACATTTGTTATCTACAGTTACATACAGATTTTTGATTATATTACAATTTTGAACATAGGTTTAGACAACAATTCATGCTGTTTGTTTACATGTATATGATACACATTCAAATAGTTACAGTGTGATCACTCAAATACGAAATTAATTTTTTATTTCCAGACAATGGTTACCATATGATTACACAAATAATATAAAAATGTACTGGGTAACATAAATATGCTATATAAATATATGCAATATTAAATCAATATAAGTATGTATAATATTTATATTATACAAATATGTACACAATAATATATTAATATTGTTGGACAGCAGAGAGCAGGTGATATGTGAATCTGCATTGAATTTATAAGGAGAAATATATAATTTATATTTCTCCATTCTTCCAGCATGCCTTCATGGTGTAATAATAGTACACTCAACGCGTATTCGAAAGGTCCAAAGTTCGAATCCTGGCAAGGGCATTGCACGTTTTTCAGTCTCCTTACATCAAAAAATAACCTAATGACAGTATAATAGTTTTTAATGCTTTGTATCCTTGAAAATGATATTTCTTAAAGTTAAATTCGTTTATCAGAAATCAGTTAAACGTTAATCAATGAAAACATTTTTCGTGCATGATGGAAATTCCATTCTGGCTTTTAAATCTTTGCTGAAGTTAAATTTTGTTAATCTGGTTTTTTTAGCTTATGTATTTATTCAGTTTTATTCATATTTCTCTACCTTTACAATTATGAATTAGTATTAATTAAGAAATAATGCATTTTAATTTTAAAATTAAAATTGTTACATTTTATTCATTGAATGTATCAGATCTGAAAAGCATATGTACATTTACTATTCTTAGCTTTTGCATATATTTTGGATTCTAAATTAGTGAAATTTATATTATTATTTTAAATTAGTCAAATAAATTAAAATTAAAATTCTTCGAATGGATTAAGCATGAAAATATGCGAAATAAAATAAAGCTGGGTTAAATAATTTGAATGCATTGTTTCAGCTAACCTGCACATATTTTACTTAAATTAATTAAATAGATATTTAAGGCAGCCTTTAATTTGCATCAGTAAAAATAAGCAGGATAGTAACTTGCTATTTAATGATGCTAATTGAAATTTAAATAATTTCTTTCAAATGGGATCAAATCTGTTTCTATATCTCTATATATTTTCGACTTCTAATAAAGATGCTTTAAAAACTTACAAAGATTGGTGAAATAAGAGCAACAAAAATTGTCTTTTTAAAAAGTATGAAAAGTAATATATCTCTCAAGGCACATTGAAGAAACACCAGATCTGAAAATTATTAATGTATATGAATAGCTTGAAGAACAGTGTTAAACATTTTACATCCTAAACAAACATCTTGAAATCATTTTAGCTATGTTTTTGCACAAAAGTGTGTGTAGTGTGTCGTAGAGTCACTGAAAAATGATTTACTTAGCATTTTTGTAATTTTTCACAAAATAAAGTAAACATAGGTTTATGAAAGATTAGTGTTTTTAAAATCTTTTGCAACAGAGTAAAATTTTCAAAAAAAAAATTAATGTTGGTAATTAGTGTATGGTTTTTTTTCTTTTTTTAACATTAAGAATTACTGACATTCAAAGTATATGTATTTCAACAAGGGGAAAATTTCAAAGGAGAAAATTTTGCATTTTGATGTAGCTGTAGTTCTAGCATTAAAAACAATCAGTTGTAAAATAATTGAAAACTGTTTAATTTTGATCAAGAAAGTTATAAGGTATTTCTCCTGCCTTCTTAGCATGCCTTCGCGGTGTAGTGATCAGCACGCTTGATGCGTATTCGAGAGGTCTGTAGTTCGAGCTTCATCTCTCATGCTTCGAAATAACGTAATGACTCTACAGTGGCGCCCAAACTAAAAGGTGGTGAATGATGATTCGTCACCACCAGGATTTGGCGATTGGGTCCCCTAAAACCCCTGTCGCCATTTAAAAGGGGGAATATATAAGGTAATTCTCCCTCTTTCTTAGTATGCTTCTGTGGTGTAGTGGTCAGCACGCTCAACGTGTATTTGAGAAATCCGTGGTTTGAGTCCCGTCGAGGGCATTGCTCTTTTTTCATCTCTCCTGCTTCGAAATAACCTAATGACTCTACAAAGTTTTTACACATGTGAGGTTTATCTGTGTTCTTGATTGTTATATACAAGCAACTCATGTTTAACCCTATTAAATTAATGTTTTAATACTCTATTACCATGAATGCAGTGTGATGAAATGAACTTATATATATTCATATTTTCTCTGTTATTACACAGCTAAATATTCATGTGGGAAACATCTCTCTTGTTGATCAATTTGAATGGGACATGTCAGAAAAAGAAAACAGTCCTGAAGTATTTGCCAATAAACTCTGTTCAGAATTAGGTTTAGGTGGAGAATTCTGTACAGCAATTGCTTATAGTATTAGAGGACAGTTATCATGGCATCAAAGAACTTATGCTTTTAGGTAAAAAAGTTTTTTTTTTCTCCCCCCCCTTTTTTTTTTCAGTGTAAATACTGATAATTTTAAGTTAAATGTGTATGCTTTCACATTTGTTTTCGTGAACAGTTATGTAGGATCTGTCAACTTCTTTTTTTTTCCCCTCTTTTTTTTATTTTATTTTATGTACTGCTGAGAAAAGGGGGTAGTCACAGTGTTACATAAACTTTCCTTGTATCATCATATGCAAAGTGTAATTTGATAGTTCAACACTCCAATCAAACTAACTCTGAAAATAAGATCTAAGCATTTTTATATGAAAAATCTTTGATGTAGGAATCTCCATTGGTATGTTATGCATCATGTTTATCATTCTAACCTCAGTTAATATTAAACCTTATAAGCATGATTAAATTAATAAATTATAAGTGCATTAGCTCAGTAGTGCTGTTGCTACAAATATATTATTATTAACTTAGTTAAAAATACATGTTGTTATAACTTCTTGCCTGTTCATAAAATTTCAAAGGAGAAAATTTTGCATTTTGCCTGAAGCATATTTATAGTTTTTTAATGTAGAAACATTTAAAGTTGGAAACTAGAACCGAGAGAACAAAATTTATAGAAAATATTTCATTAATTATTTTATAATTCTGATTTTTGATTTAAAATTTATTTAAATGAAAAAAAATGTACACAATACAAATAATATGTTTACAAATGAGGTTGATTTTTTATTTCCTTTCTTTTGTACTAGCTGTAAAAAATTAAATTACTCCCAACTCTTTTTTGCATAGCAGTACGTTCCTTAGAAAACCGTGCAAAAGAAAATCGTACATGTGACAAATTTCGGTATATGTTCCACAACTTTAAAAAAAAAATGTGTAAGATGGAAAAACTCTAAACATTTCCTCCCAAAAGTGTGCAAATAAAGTAACAATGAAACCAATATTACATATTTATAAAACAAAAACAATTCATTTTTATTACAAAAAAAAAATTCAAATTAGTGTAAATTGAAAGTTCAGTCCATAAGTACATGTATCAGATATGACTAGCACTATTCTCTGGTTTGATTCAAATGAAGAATTTTGTTCGTTGTTAATGCCTTCTGAATTTTGTTGTTACAAAATCTGTTATTATCTACTATTTTTTTGTTACTCAAGTTGCTTATATTATTCTTGATATCAAGCTACACAAATATACCAAGTTATACCTAGGAGGAACAAATTCCCATTGCCAAGCGTACAGGAAATTGAGAAAAATACAATATGAAACCAAGAATTATTAGGATTCATTCTTTGACAAAGTTCTCACAATAATTTGAACTCGGATTGAAGCTTACTTGGGAAGTGATGAGCAGTTCGATGAAGTTTTACTTTCATTTGCTGTTGATTGATCCATATCACAGTTTGATCAATGATTTAATTTACGTTGATTTGATGCGGGAGAAAATGGTGTCAGAAGTTTGAACTCGAAGAATGTGACATTCAACCTTTTCCACCTGCTTGACAGCATTTCGCATATACACTGAAGAGGGTGCCCCTCTTCAGTGTGGCATAGCCTCTTCTGTTTTGGTGAAGCTTTCCTTCTTAACATTACAAATTCTTTAATGAAATAGACCATGTCATTAACACATGTGGGTATAAATTGATCGACTTCTGATCACACTGTCAAAATTAATTCAAGGACTGACTAAATTATTTTGATAGTGGTTAACACTGCAATACTAGTTACTACCTATTCTCCATCTTCGTAACGTAACTTAGTTACTGGTGGGGGAGTAGTGTAGTGGCCCAGTTATTGCATGAGAAATAATTATTTTTTATTTCATATATTTTGTTCATGTGTTTAATTATTTTATAAAATTAACTTTAATATTTTGTTAATATTCATTTATATTTCTTTTATGTGAATGGCAATAATATTCATATTTATATTTAAATTTCTTTATGCTGAATGGCAACTAGTTCTAGTTCTGATTCATGATTGCTAGGTTTTGGTTTCAAAACGTTGCTCGTAGCGTCGCATTTCGATAGCTGGAAAATAAAATGCAATAACTTAGCTATTTGTTTATAATTCATGCTGTTACTAGTCATAAATTAATTTTAAACATTAGTAGCCAAGGCTACCATTTGAAACCAGCATATATTTTAGCTGAGGAAAATTCTCAGTTGATACAACCTGACTACACTAATTTGCAGAGACCGGACTCAAATTCGGATGTGAATCAAAACATTCTCGCACAGGCAGAACTATACGTTTACCTGTTAGATTCAAGGACTGACTAAATTATTTTGATAGTGGTTAACACTGCAATACTAGTTACTACCTATTTCTCCATCTTCGTAACGTAACTTAGTTACTGGTGGGGGAGTAGTGTAGTGGCCCAGTTATTGCATGAGAAATAATTATTTTTTATTTCATATATTTGTTCATGTGTTTAATTATTTTATAAAATTAACTTTAATATTTTGTTAATATTCATATTTATATTTCTTTATGCTGAATGGCAATTATTTATTTAAATTTCTTTATGCTGAATGGCAACTAGTTCTAGTTCTGATTCATGATTGCTAGGTTTTGGTTTCAAAACGTTGCTCGTAGCGTCGCATTTCGATAGCTGGAAAATAAAATGCAATAACTTAGCTATTTGTTATAATTCATGATTAATTTTAAACATTAGTAGCCAAGGCTACATAGAGTTTTTTTAAAAAAAAATTGGGGTGGTGGTGGTGGTGGTGGGGATTCATGCTAAAAGGAAAAATTCGTGTAAAAAAGAGTATTTGTTCTTATTGGTGAACCCTGTTATTTCAAAATCATGTAAAAAAAGAGTTAAGTGTATTGATTTTTTTAAACTTTGATTTCTATAGCTTTTGAACTTTAAATCAAGCTATTTTGTATGGCTTTTGAAAATAAATGAATCTTTATTTGTTTAAATTTTTAGCATCTCATTGTTAAAAAGTTGAAAGTTAGTTTTTAATTCATATTCTTAAAAATTTGAATAAAGGTTTAGTTATAGTGCTAATATTTCTGTTATTATCACCATTAGCACTGCAAGTGAAAATGTTGAGGCGAATTAATAATTTTCAGAAATAAATGTAATAAAAAACTGGTTTTTAAATAACTTACTAAGTAGTTTCAATTCATAAAATACATCGTGCTTTCTCAAAATTGGAGCATTTTTATTTCTTGTCATAATGTATGGAAAAGGGCTATTAAGGAAATGTAATTGTTATTAATAGCATAATGCTTTTATGTATGAATTTAGAATATGCTTTTATTCATTTATTCATTTTATTCATTTAAGTGTCAATTGTTGCAAAATTTTTTATAATATTCTTAGTGAAGCTCCTTTACCTACTGTTGACATTCCGTATCGAAATCAATCTGAAGCTGATCAGTGGTGCCCATTCTTGGAGACACTTACAGATGCTGAAATGGAAAAGAAAATCAGAGATCAAGATCGAAATACTAGGTAATTTTTTAACATTCTCATGATTTCTTCAACTCTCATAACAAATGATTTTAAACATTGGCATTCAGTTATGAAATTTGTTCTTGCAGGGACTAGATTGGCTTGAATCAGAATGTAGTTTTATAAGGAGAAAAGTCTCCAGTATAGGTTGCAATAATATGATGTACCATATTTATTCACATACTCTCTCCTTCTCTCTTATATTTATCTCCTTAGCTTTTTTAGTGCAAGGTTCTGAAAATATTTTTAGTACAGTCAAATACCGAAAATCCACATTGCCTCTCAAAATAGAAACATTTAGTTTATAGGTTCTGGAAACCGCAACATGGAGTACGAAATATCGAAGAAAAAATACTTGCAGGATAATGACGTCATAATTACCAAATAATAATGAGTTTCAACGGAAATACCAAATTATTGACATCATGATAAGAGCTTTTTCCCCCTCCAATCTACATCGAGGTAAAAAAGCAGACGATTAACTCAACTCTTCTTTCAAGTTCACGCTTCACATTGTTGTACTTTCTGAACTTTGTTATTTTACAAGATTGTTTAGTAATGTCATTTTTTTATCTGAATATTTTGTTGATATATTAAGAATATTTTAAATTTCAGCGCTTTTTAATACAGTGACAGATAAGATACGCACTTAAGATTTTACTGCTTGCAACGTTGAAAAACGTAAACGCGTTGCATTGACGGTAATGAAAGAAGTGGAAATTTTGCTTAAGATGGAGGCAGGTGCTACTGCTCGGTTTATAGCAGAATCATATAGAATTGCCACAGGGACTGTGTATGATATACGGAACAATAAAGAAAAGCTGTTGAAATTTTACAGAACAGTGATTCTAACATCGGAAACCGGAAATCTTAACATGAGGCGAAATCGGCAAACCTCAATGCTGTATTGTACGAGTGGTTCTGGCAGCGGCGGAGTGATGGGGTACCTATTTCAGGCCCGCGCCAAGCCTAACCTGTACTCCTGAGAGAAAAGGGGAAGCAGATTCATGCTGATTTAAAAATAGGAGCCTAATGCAAATGAACAGTATAATATAATCAGTTTATATATGTAATACTAATTTAATGTGTATAATTAATTATTGTATTAATATATATAATAATTTAATTAAATGTATCTAATACGCCTTATTTATTTTGCACTTTTAGTCTGAATATTATCTTTTCTGTCCTGAAATCCGCAAAATCCTAAAATCTGTACAACCTCTGGTCCCAAGCGTTGCGGATTTCTGGACTTAATTCGGAACATAATTTTCCTTCCTTAAGGCATTCAGAAAGCAAGCTTCTCTGATTTTTGAAATGGATTTGGCTTCATAGTAATTGTTTTAATATTACTATTGATTTCCTCATGGACTTTGTTTTGTGCATGGAATCTTGATTGAGGATGCAATACAAGCAAAAAAGTTCAAGGAAACAGAGATACCTAATGCTTTTGATGGTTCTGAAGATAATTGCACATGGGAAAACAAACTGAATGGTAATGGAGATGACGGCAATGACTTACAAGCTATAGCAGATCTAGAAACTAAATGATTTGAAGCCTAGGTAGTAACAATGGATAAAAGTAAGAGTAGACTAGATTCAATGTACAGGGAGTAGAAATGAACATATCATTTCTACTTTCTGTATCTTGAATAATATTGGTGATATTTTTAATATAATTAATCTTGAATAATAATGATAATATTGGTAATGTTACTATTACTGCATATTTTTATTGGAATGCAGGTTTCTTTTAAATAAATAATATTGTGATAGTTACTAGTAGTTTATTTATGAATGCTTTTCATTTGTTACATTCTTACTGTAACTGCATCCTTTAGAAATTCAATAATTCGTATAATTTTCCTTTCTCGATTTTCATGCAATGAAATTAGTAGAAAAAGGGAAAAGATATATGAATAAATATATCTATTTTTCATAAATAATGTATAAATTTATTGAGAATGAAATATTTCTTTATTATTGAAAAGAAATTCTTATGTATACTTATATATATATATAATTTATTTCCTAAACAGTATTGATTAATTGATTATATTATCTCCTAAGTTTAATTAGAATTATTTTAAAAGTGTGAATCCATACTGGTAAGTTATATTTTGAAAGATGTTTTGAAGTAATTTGAAAGCAAAATGTTAATAATGTTTTAATGGGGACTGGAGTTAAATCATCATGAAGAATAAAATTTCAATTGTAAAAGGAAAAATTAAAACATGTAATCATTGTCATTGATCGGAAATTAGTTGACATTTCAAGGGGAACAAACCATTTAAGATCATACAACATATATATATATATATATATACAGTCAAAAGTCGTTAATTCGGACACCCATAATCCGGACCTCAAAGCTACAAACTTTCTGTGCATGCGTCGCGTTCACGCATGCGCACAGGCGTTTACGAGAGCGCATAAGACCCTTACAGCTGCAAATATGTTTGTGCGCATGCGCGTTTAATGTGTAACGGAGTTATACGCTAAGCTAAAGTTATCTAATTCAGTTAATGTTGCAGATTGCGTTGTTCCTTAATCTTCGAATTGGATCCGGCTTATTATTTTTTGCAGACTGTTAGAGCAATTTTATAAAAGTAAGCTTGAACTTTCGATTATGTCAAATAGAATTTCCGATATATATTTACTACAAAGCGAAAGTATGTTTTGAAATCCGAAATCTGTTTATCAATTTCACCTGCGGCAGGGGGGGGGCAGAAACGTCATTATTAGATTATGATAGATTAGAAAGATTATGTCAAATAGAATTTCCGATATATATTTACTAATATGTAATTTGTATCTACAAAGCGAAAGTATGTTTTGAAATCCGAAATCTGTTTATCAATTTCACGCTGCGCTGCGGATTGGAAGTTGATCTGTCAGCACTATCCTTATCTTCAGAGCAGATGTTTTTATTTTATTTGGTTTATAATTCCATACTAAGTGTAGTATTTCATCTCGATATAGTCTTTGATATGATTTAAATCAAGTTCCTCCTCATTATAATTCGGTATTCTCAACACAGCAATTATAGGACTTGAACAGCAGAACTTTGTAACTAAACAAGAAATTATGTCTGTTTAATAGAATTAAAGAGAAAGTATTATCACATGAAACGAAGCAACTTACATTGAAGGAAATGTTTAATAAAGTAAACAAATAAATATTAAGCTTTTTCTTTTTGTAAATTTTGATACCCTTTAGATCATAATTGTTCTTTATTTCATAAATTACGGTTTCATATTTTTAATTTTGTAATTTCTGCATGCCATCTTACCAGATTTAAACTGATGATCAATAATCCGGAAAAATCGATAATCCGGAATCGCCGAAGTCCCGACGAGTCCGGATTAACGACTTTTGACTGTATATTGTTTTTGTGAGTAGTTAATTTGGCACAATGTAATATTTTATTGTTTTTTTCCAAGTGTTTCGGATTATGTGTAAGGAAAACTCTGGATACATCTGAGATTCGATTTCTCGGTTTTAAATAAATTTTAATGTCTTTATTGAAAATTTAATTGAATCTTTATTCAGTTTTTGATCTGAAATGTACCAGAACGAAACATATTAATCGACTCTTATGTAACTTTAATTCATTTTCCCTTGATGGATTTTTAATAATAAAGATTAAATTTTTGAATAATAAATATTAAAATAATATTTTAATAAATATGAAAAATAAAATATTATTTGAATAATAAAATTAAAAGAAGATTAATTTTTATATTTTCTCCTTTTTGTATTTATTTTAAAAAGTTTATTCTACTGATGTATTCATATTTTAATTTTCATACTTTTACATACGGTGTTTAACCTCTTAGCCACCATTGCAATTATAATACTGTTGAGGTATTGCCGTGTTTTAATTCCAATTTTATTTTAACTTTAATTGCTTTAAGTTTATATATATATATATATATACATACACAGGGTGTCCCATAAATGTTGCGACAAACTTTTTGGGGAGGTAGGACACATCATAAGAATTAAGAATGGCATAGGAACCCATGCCTGGGTGTATCAAGGATAAGTGGCAATAGAAGTAGAAGATGGGAAAGGAAACAAGAGAGTGATTAATTGGAATAATTTATTGGACATAGATACAGATGGTATACGACAGCTTGAATGTTACAACAGATGTTCGAAGTTTGCATCATTAGATGACAAACATGCCCGACAACGATGGACCATTGATTGCTGAACATGTTCAAACACACCGGACGTTTATCTGATTGTAGCAGCTACGCAGGCGAGTCTTGCCGCAAGATCCATTTCAAACACAGCAGGATCATGATACACGTCTTTTGATGGCTCCTCAAAAAAGGAAATCAACCAAAAAATTTTATTGCTCAATAAATCGGGTGATCGTGGGGGCCAGGGAAACGGTCCTCCATGCCCAGTCCATCGATGCGGGAATTGTCTGTTGAAACATCCAGTTCAAAATGAGTAGGCATCCCATCATGTCGAAACCACATGTTCACAAGCTATCCGTTCATGTAGCATTCCATGATTTTCGTATGGTGCCTACCTTTCGAGTGAGGCAATCCTTACTTTCCTCTATCCTGTACCAGATGCCCTGGCGGTGTACAATGATGTATCTGGACAGGGGTTCCTATTCAATTCCTAATCCTTATGATAGGAGTTACAGAAGTTTGTCGCAACATTTACGAGACACCCTATATATATATATATATACAGGGTATACTATATGTACAGGGTTTAATATGATATATACAGTCAAAAGTCTTTAATCTGGACCTCTTATAATCCATAATGATCTATAATCCGGACCTGTTTCCGAAATCTGTTTATCAATCTCACAGGGGGGGAGGGGATGTCGTGGCGTGCAATGAACTGGAAGTTGATCTGTCCTTATCTTCAGGGCAGATGTTTTTATTTTATTCGGCTTATAATTCCTTACTAAATGTAGTATTTCATCTCGATGTACTTCGTCTTTGATATGATTTAAATCAAATTCCTCGTCATTTATAAATATCACGAATACACATCAAATAGTTGTCTGGTTGCAATTTTCTAATTTCGACTATGCGTAATGTATGCTTTACGCATGCAAGTGTTGAAAGAAAAGTTTAATAAAGTAAACAAATTAATATTCAGCTTTTTTGTGTAAATTTTGATACCCTTTAGATCACAATTGCTCTTTATTTCATAAATTACGGTTTCATATTTTTAATTTTATAATTTCTGCATGCCATCTTACCAGATTTAAACTGATGATCTATAATCCAGAAAAACCGATAACCCGGAATCGCCGAAGTCCCGACGAGTCTGGATTAAAGACTTTTGACTGTATCTAATCAAAACTATAAATTTTTATCTTTACTGCCATGCTTTTTTTTTTGTACAGCACATAAGCGTTCCATAAATTGATGTCTAGAAGATGGAAAAAACATTTTTTTAGTATTTCTTCCTTTTTTTTAAATCACAAGATAAATATTTACATTCTGGTCCATTCGATCTACACCATCCACTATGTTGCTCTATAACTACTGTCGGTTTTCATTTTATATCATTTTTGGATGTGGATGCTTGAACTGTTTCTGGATTATGTACTGTAAATATCAGAGACACAGCTTTTTTATCCATCCATAATACATGTTTTTCCTTTCTGGTATGCAACCAATTGTCCTTTTTGAAGTTTTTTTTTCAGCATTGCTTTAGGAGCTTCCTTTCTCTGAAGTTTTAATGTTCCGTACATATCTGTGCAGCAACTAATGAGGGCATCTGCTATTTCAGGCAATGTATAAAAGTTATCTGTTGTCAGATGGTATCCTTTATGTAAAAGTGCTTCCATTAGTGTCATCACAACCTGCGACGATTTGCTCAAATGTTTGTAATTGCCATCAAACACAGTTCATTTTCCTGTTTAAGTTAACATAGACCATACATATCCAGTCTTTGATTCACAAAGCATGTATGCTTTTATTCCAAATCGTGATCATTTTAGTGGGATGTATTGTTTCGAACTTAGTCTTTCTTTGTATAACATAAGACTCTCATCTATGATGACATCTCGTTCAGTTGTAACAACTTCTTGGAAGCGAATTTTCAAATGCTTTAGCAAGGACCAGATTTTAACTAATTTTGGGCACATATAAGAATTTATATCCAATTTTTCTTTATCTGAAAAATGTAAGTAAGTGCCAATATTAACTCGATGATGATATACTTTGGGGAAAAAATGGTGTAGATGTAGAATGCCTCTTGCTCCAATGCTACTCAACTACTGCCTTTTTTTTTATAATACCTTGAAGAATAATCAAGGCAAAAGGTACATGTATTTCATCTCTCGATGTTGCTTCCCATTTTTTTCTTCTAGAATGCCTACTAAATACATTATTTTGCATGCACTGCTCAGCATATCTCTTTGTTTCCGAAACAATCAGGTTTAGCAAATAATCATCCATGAAAGCTTCATAAAACTGAAGTTTACTATTAGCTATATCAATATTTAAGTTGATTTTTGGATTTCCAATTAAAGCAAATCTAGGAGGTGCATCGGGTGTATTATTAGAATTAATTTAAAAAAATTGCCTTGCTTGGCTGAAACCATCTGTACTGCTATCAGAGTCATTAGTGTCACAGTCATTTAGAAAACCTCCACTACTTCCAGACTCTTTTGCAGGTATTTCAGATTCTTATTCCGAATCAGAATAAATTACCTCCATACATTCTGGATCAGCCTTTATTTTATGATAAAGATTGTCTTCACTACTTGTATATAAATAAAGTTATCAAATAATGTGTAAAATACATACTAAAAGCTAAACATTCAAAGATAAAAACTCATGGAGTAACTTATAGATTGTGATAGTTGTCCACAAAACTTATGAATATTTTGTGGACAACTATCACAATCTATAAGACTAATTTGGCATTAAAAATAGAAAAAAATACAACCAAAATAATGAAAGCGACAAAGAAATTAGATCACCTACATGCGATACGGGCAAATCCATAAAAGGCACGAAGAACACACCCATACAGGTGTACGGGTAAAATTGGCAAGGGGTTGAGGTGCAGCACTGTCTATTAACTATCAATGTATTGTTATTTATACTACCGTAATTTCCAGAAAAAAGGCCGCATCAGCGTAAACGCCGCACTCGAGAAAAATGGCGGGGAAAAAATTAAAATTACACAGAAACGCCGCAATAGTTTAAATTGCGCGTGATATCGTTGTGGGCCGTATAGATGCAAAAACTCAACCTAAGTCCTGATATATGACATACCATCTCCCTTCGGAAGTCTTTCGTTTAAAAATGATCATCGGCTTTAGCTTGTCACCGTTTGCGGCACAAGCTAACACACATGTAAATGACGTTCTTTCATGCCCCGTCATAAACATAGATACAGTTTTTGCACCAGTTTCATCAACAGTTCTGTTTGCAGGAGAGTCGAAAGCTAACAGCGTTTCATCCATATTTATTATCTGCGACCGAAGAAGTTTTTTTTTTTTTTTTTGGTCAATAATAGCTGTCACATATTTTAGAAAAGATGACTTTTTATCCTGCCAGTCCATTGGTAATTGTTTTTTTTTCATAAATCTGCTACCCCTCCTTTGAAATCATTTATGTTCATTCATTTTGCTTGTAAGTGAATTTTTACAGTCGAAATTGCCATTCCCTTTCCTCGTTGCTCCTTTATCCAGTTTGCAAGGTCGTCCTCTAGATTTGGCCACCTTACAGTACCGCTTCTTTTGGCTCGTTTTTGTTGTGGCATATTTTTAAGAAGTTCTTTTTCAGTTCTCCAACGTCGAATACATCTGTCGTCCACTTCAAACTCTCGAGCTGCTGCTCGATTTCCAATTTGTTCAGCACGTGAAATTGCATTAAGCTTAAAACCAGCAGCATAGCTTCTGTGCCGTTTAGGGACATTTTCAAAAATTTTCCGCTCCCTTCTTACTTAAAAACTATCCAAAAAGTACTTGTACCCAAACTGATGGGATTTGTATCTGGCAGAATGCCAAGAAAAATCCATTCATGCTGAAGGGGAAATACGTCAGAGTTCGTTATTGCGAGGCAGGTGGAGTCATGTCCGCCTTTGAAAAAAATTGCAGAAAAGGCAGGGGTGAGGAGAGAATGGGTCCTGGAAGATTCATCGAATGGCAGAGGAGAGAGACTATTCGAACTGATGAGAATGTTGATTTTGCAAGGGTGAAGAATGTTATTGTTCTGAGATCTCGTTTAGGGTGAATAAGGCATGTAGGTCCGTTCAAGGGAAAGAATGTAAACAAAATAACGTTCGCAAAAAGCAACTGAGTGGTCTTTTGTGTGGGAACAGCACCAGTCTGTGCACAGTGACAAGGCCATCCAAACTATGTACAATGACCATCATAAAAAATATTTTTATTTTTAGTGCACCTAAACGCCGCACCCGCTGAAAATTTAAGTTTTAAACACGTAAACGCCGTGGCATTTCTTCCGGAAATTACGGTACCTGTTTTGTTTCATGCTTCAACAGCAAAATATTTCGATTACCTCCTTCTCTATGTTTCATGTAATTAGAACCCATTCATAGTTTAAGGGGATGACTTTAAAAAGGTTTTTTATAGAGGCATTCAATGTTATGTTCTTTTGTGTGCTGGTATAACTTTAAATTGAGGAATTAAAAGGCAGGCTCAGAATAAAGTTAAAAAGGAATTGGAATTCTAAAAAAATAGGTTGAAAATGCTAAAAATATGTTTAAACATTAGTTAAAAAGGAGTTTCACAGATGACTTGCTTACTATTCCAACTAGAGCTGGAATGAATGGTTCAGACTTGTTTCAATCTTTTATTGCCTTCTGCAAGTTTGCTGTTCATATCAGAATTGGCATCTAGATTTTCAAAATAGCATATTTTTTTTTTTTTTAATTACTTTCTGAGAACATCTAAATTCAATAGCTGAGTGGAGCAAAACCAAAATCATTAGTAAACCCTGAGATAAAATCAGTTTTAAAATCAGAGAAGGCCACTAGACCATGTTGCAACTGAGACCTTCCTTTCAATCTATGACATATCTGAATACTGATTCTGTGAAGTACAATAACTCTCCAGAAAACAATAAACGAGGAAATTTAACTGAACATTCATTCCAACTCTTGTTTTTACTAATATTTAAGCATTATTTTAGTGTATCAAGTTTAAAAGTTTTGTATAATTTTATAATTATCAAAAGCCTCAGATGTTAAGCCTTCTTTAAAGAAATTCCTAAAGCAGATAACTAAAATATGTTTTGCTATAAGCAATTTTCTAATGTAGCTGAATTATCTAATGTATTATCTTTAAAAATATTCAGTGTTAAAGTTAATTAATTTTTAATTGGGTTAGTTAAAGGTTCTTAATTAGGTAAGGGTTATGTAATAATCTAATGTTTAAACAATTATCTATGTATAACCTTTATCCAGTAATTCTGTTAAAATATTTTTGAGATAATACAATGCAGTTTTTTTGTAAATTAAAGCTATTAGAACTCAGGTGTAATAAATTACTTTCATAATGACCCAAAATCCATGTTGTTTTAATTTATTTCTTTGAATGCTGATATAAATCATAAAAAATGTAGCAGCTATTGAGGGTATGCTTCTGTAATTTCATGTTTTATCACTCAACTTACAGATGTAAATAAATCATTCTTAATGGTTATCTTTTTTTTTTTAGGAGGATGAGGCGACTGGCAAATACTGCTCCATCATGGTGAAAATTAAGAAATAATTTGTAGATTTGAAGAAATTCTTATACTTTACACATTGTATTTGTTCTCAAGAACGTTCATTCAATAAAGCTACGTGAAATGCGATATAGACGTTGTCTATTGTGAAATGTCTATTGCGTGATATTGACATTGTCTGTAGTGTCTACGTGAAGTTGTCTATTGTGCTCATGATTTTTGAGTTAAGTTTATAATGTGGTTTTATTTACTCTAATATTTGTAATTGAATAGATATTTATGTGCTAAAAGACTGCTGTTTGCACGCTAGCATTCATCACCTCCTAATAACACCTTCATATGTTCCTGTAACTTCTTTCCATTCCCCCCTTCCAGGAAAAAAAAAGGCTGAAGGGTTAGAACTGAATGCAGGTGCCTTAAATCTGGGTAAGAGCTTAGGATTTATAGATGGATCTGTGATCCATTTTAGGTAATCATGCATTTTTCTGATCAGAAATTCAATTCTAGCTAACATCCCCCCCTCCAAATAACACTTCAAAAACGAAATTACATATTGTTTGGAAATTGCTTAATTCACAGATTTTTATTGGCAAAATCATGTAGTAAACAATATAATTGCATAAAGCTTATAGTTGAGAGATTAGTTTCTAACATCAAATTATCTTTTAAATGTCATATGAAAGTTATTTTGGAAATGGAGTGTGTTGTAATGTGTGAATGTTTCTGTTTGGAGAAAATATAATTTTTCTTTTAAGGAAAAATAAAATCATATATTTGACAACAGTGGCTTTAATAAGTATGCCTGAGAAAAGAACTTTGTGGAAATTGTTGTAGAAGAAAAAAGATGTTCATTCGCAAAAGGCTTGGACAATGCCATATGAAGCTCTGTTGGTGGATTTTTGATCAGACATTTTATTCAAAGTGCCACCCAAGCAAATTATTTAAAATGCACCATGAAGTAATAGAATAATTCATCATTTTTGCCTTCAGAATTATAACCAAAAAAAAAAAAAAAAAATACGCACCAAGAAGGAGTTGTCCGATGGAAACAAAAATTGCTGGATGGGAAGATTATGTACTGAATAAAAAATGATTAAAATTTCAGAACAATTGAATGATTTAGAATTGATGATCAGAGTTACCTAGTTACAAAATAACAAGCTCAATAACGTGTTGGCCCAACTCTAGCCTGGATGCAAGCTGCCACGTGGCATGGCATAGACTGATAAAGCTCTTGGATGGTCTGCTGTGGTATTTCTTGCCAAATTTGCTCCAGTTGTCTGGCTAGGTCATCAACATTCACTGGTAGATGCAGTTGCCTTCCCATCATATCCCAAACATGCTCGGTGGGAGAGAGATATGGAGATCTATCTAGCCAAGGAAGTGTTTGACAAGCTGTAATGTTCATGGCAACATGTGCCATATGTTGTCTGGCATTATCTTGCTGAAAAATGAGGCCAGGGTACTGCAAAGCAGGTCTTAGAATGTCGTCAATGTACCGCTGGACTATAAGTGTGCCTCTAATGAAGACCAAAGGGATCCTGCTATCAAGGGTAATGGCACCCCAGACCATAACTCTTGGCTGAGGGCCTGTGTGGCTGCAATAGTGAAAGCAGGATCGGCAGGCTGCTCTGGGCATCTCCAAACATGTCTTTGAAGATTGTCACAACAAAATTGGAAGCAGGATTCATCGCTAAAGATTATACGTCCCCAGTCAGCATCATTCAAATCTGATCGAGCCAAGCACCACTGTAATCTGGCTCGACATCTTGAAGGCATGAGTGGCAGGTGGCTTAATGGTCGGTACGAACGTATATTTCGCTCTATCAGCCGCCTGTGAAAGGTCATGATGGACACTCGTGTGCGGGTTGCATGTCTGATGGTTGATAGTGATGAAACAGGCACTGTGACAGTTGATCTGACGATGACTCTGTCGTCCCGATGTCTTGTAGCTGTAGGTTGACCACTACCATCATGCCACTGAAATCTGCCATTCACCCATTCTTGGCAGCATCTTCTAATCGGCGCATCGCTTTGACTCATATGAGGAACAATTTTCCAATTTGTCCAACCTGCCATTTTCAGTCCAATGATACAACCTCTTTCAAACTCTGACAGTTGCTCGTAATGAGCTCATATCCTGCGGCGAGGCATTTTTTCAGTCTTTGAAAGGTATTCTAAATCGCAATGCAGTAACAACAATTCAAGAATAACTCCTTATATACATCTGCTGGATGCGCAGTTCCGATGCACTGGACATAGCACTATTTTTTCATTGCACACCAAATTTTAATCATTTGCGTATTTGGTCAAAATATTTATGCATACGAAATTTCAAAGCAATTGAATGATTCCTTCTTGATGCGTCAATTTTTTTGTTATAGAGTGGATTTAAATGAAAAAATTTCTCATTTTGTATGTTTTGTTTTTATGGTTTTGGTTTGTTAATATGTTGTATAAAATGTAATCTAATACTTTTTAAATCAAGATGCTATTTCTTGAAAGAACTTAAAAAATTCTTATGATTTTATTGCAGACTTTGACTAATTAATTTACAGGTAAGATCAAAGTTATGCAATTAAAATGTTATCAATTTAATATTGAAGTAAATGCTTTTACATTTTAAAACATATAAACTTTTATATATTATTTAAATTATATTCTTTAAATAGTAGAAGAGAATTTTGAAGGCTTCCTTGAAAGTGATGGTTGGGCAAGTTTGCTCTTGTGTAAATCTAGCATAAATAGCACTACATCCGGACTTATGTAAATTTGTAGATACATAAGCATGCAAAAGCCATGACCTTCAAACTGAAACATAACATTTAGAAATAAGTGCAGTCAAAAGTCTTTAATCCAGTTGTTGCGATTCGCTGCTGCTGTGTGATGTCATTACGAACTGTGAACTCGCGCGCATTACATTACTTATTATTACATTTATACGACTGTTTTGCAGTCAGAGAACACTTTTTACTTGGAAATTTCTTGCTGTAGGACTTGTGTTCTAGCATCTATATATGATTCGAAATTTTTGGATTGGAAAGGCAACAATCAGTTTACAACCAAAGTTAAAAGTAATCAAACATAATACAGTCAAAAGTCGTTACTTTTTTTGGATTGGAAAGGCAATGATCAGTTTACAACCAAAGTTAAAAATAATCGAACATAATACAGTCAAACGTCGTTAATCCAGACTCGTCGGGACTTCGGCGATTCCGGATTATCGGTTTTTCTCCGTATTATAGATCATCAGTTTAAATCTGGTAAGGTGGCATGCAGAAATTATAAAATTAAAAATATGAAACCGTAATTTATGAAATAAAGAGCAATTGTGATCTACAGGGTATCAAAATTTACACAAAAAAGCTGAATATTAATTTGTTTACTTTATTAAACTTTTCTTTCAACACTTGCATGCGTAAAGCATACATTATGCATAGTCAAAATTAGAAAATTGCAACCAGAAAACTATTTGATGTGTAATCGTGATATTTATAATGACGAGGAATTTGATTTAAATCGTATCAAAGACGGAGTACATCGAGATGAAATACTATATTTAGTAAGGAATTATAAGCCGAATAAAATAAAACATCTGCCCTGAAGATAAGGGTAGTACTGACAGATCAACTTCCAGTTCATTGCGCGCCGCGCTGCCGATCGTGCCTTGCACTCACATTCACCGTAGGTCGAACCATCTTGCAACAATCATTTTTCTAAAATCTCTCTATGACCATGAGCTTTGACATACAATCACAAGGAGATATCTCTTTTATAGCTGTCGCAGATGAACAAGTGTGATGTTTCGTACACTATTTGCATAATACACAAATTCGCACACCAAACTCAAGTTGCATTGAGTTGATGCATTTTGCAACACAATTGTGCATGTTTTGTATGTTGTCTAGTCTGTAAAGCCAATCAGTAGGATGCACCTTGCGGGGTTTGAACCACAGTCCTCTCGACTGTGAATTACAAGCGACATCATTGTGCCTTGAAACGGGCATGTTTTTCATCCGAAAGATAATCTTTTCTCTTTTCGTTCATGTTTTGTGACATCACAGTTTTCGGAAATCGTGAAGAAACAAATGTGCATTTTCAGAGTTCTGTTTTTAGCATTCATATCCACAAGGTGTCTATTCGTACTAAATTGACGATGCTCTGCAACTTCACTTTTCCTTCCTATCTCGATTTGTTTTCGAGATAGGGGGCTAACTCTGCCGTTTTTCACCAGGTGGCACTGTAAACTATCATCAAGTAGCGCATAGCCACTTTACTATACCTAGGCACCAGTTTAATAAATGTAGCTGCAGCCGTTTGGCAGTTAAACAGGTGGTACTGGTGGGCATCCTGTGTAATTCCCTCTTTTCTGTTTAAATTTTCTCCAAATAACTTTTTGTGGACCCATAATTACCAATAAAATTTGATGGTTTTGAACTGTCAAATAGCACCTCCTTTTTGATAATGATCGTATGCGGTACTTTCAATCTGATAGCTATGATACTAGTAAAATTAGAATGGACTGATCCACACATTGAGCGGTTTGAGAATGTTTGTAACTATAAGGGGATTCAAATATGATCGGACCTTTGCTGTTGCAAACCAGTACTCAATCACAGTGCTATCTGTCCCTGGGTGAGTACAGCCACTACCCCTAACTTACTTTATATGGAGATTAGAACTTGCTCAGACGTGTGAGTGATGAGCGAACACCAGATGCCTTAGAAGGTTAGAAATTACATTCAACTTCTGTAAGACAAAACTGTTCATTATGTACTGCCCCCCTAAAATCATCTGTAATGTATCATTTATTTACTCTCATGTATGTACACTACGAAAAAAAAAGGGGACAGTTCTGTATCTCCCATTCTACTGGGCCGATTGACGAAATTCAAATTGCGTTTTTCATGCCTCGAAAGCACGACTTAAGATATATATTAGATTCATATATAGCATTGTTCTAACATAGGTATGACACAAAATCGGACTTTTCTGAAATAACATACCAATTTTTTCCATATTTCGATTCTGCCCACTCAAATTATGCCTAAATATTAAATTTTGTAAAATTTGATGTGAAATTAAAAAATTTAATTTGGCCAATTTTTTTCAGTTTGCGCCAAGAATTT